GACTGATTCTCTTACACTGATTGGAGAAATCATGCAGAAAGAAACCGCATTCAAAATTAAGGTCAGTTTTCAATTTTCTATGATAAATTTGTTTGTTCCTCCAAGCCGGTGGAGGTTGGTAGTGTCAGGTAGATTCTTATCTGAATCCCTAACAAAAGGAGTGAAACTGGCGTTGTTGCGGTGGGGCCCTCCTTGTTATTTTATATTCAGTGCTAGAAAGCCCTTCCTTGGGTTCTGATATCTAGGGTAAGATAATGTGTGGGCGTTTTATCTGGAGTGTTTTTGGATAAGGACTTGTGAGTGTCCCACACGCCCCACAATCAATCCAATATTTGCACGGATCACCCTCCCCCCTCCCCCTGGAGCTTCTCCCCTAGGCTTAGGCGGACATCAATTCCCCGGTTCAGGCCCGTTTTGGATCATTGGAGAACGAACGAACGAAACGGGAAACCAGCTCAGTATTTATCAGTGCTATATTTAAAGTTAGTCGTGTACGTGTCATGGGTGCCCTTAACTATCAATAGAATCAAAGTGCATGATGGAGTGCCCCTCCTTCTCCAACGCCAGTTTCACCCGGTAGACAGTTATTTTTTATCATCTTTTCCATTTGGATTGAGTAATATTTTTCTGGATTTATCTACATCAACACTGGCTGATCGATTTGACGCGAAATTGCTGTATTGTGCTGGGTGTCCCTCAGGAGGCGCCCGGCCGATGTCAGACTTTGCGGATCGCTAGTGGCGAATCGCTCGATTCGCAAATTCTGACGTCGGCTTTCGATAATCAGTGTCATGAAAGAACGATCCCATATACTGTCATGCTTTCTTCAATTCCCCATTAATTCGAGCCCATATTAAAACCTCACTTTCGCACTTTCACAACCTCACTTTCCTTTCGCTCTTTGACATTTGAGGACTTTCTCACTGGCAGAAATAAAAGAGACAAAACGAAAGGGTATTCGCAAACTTTGCAGTACCGGTCCTCTCCAACCCGCCCTTCCACTTCCTCTTCACCCGGTTGTCAAATACAGATAGATGCGAGTTTAATTAGATATCTTCCGCATGACTGACAACGACGCTAGGCCCACTATGCGACCTGAAACCAAAGATTAATTCGAACGCCACGATGCCATTCTGGTAAAAGTCGAATGCGTGTCTTTCTCTCATTCGAAGTGGATCAAAGTTAAGCGGTTCATCCTCATCCTTTTTTAGTTTTTCGTAATATTCCCCGTTCCGTGATCCGAAATTTTGTGTTTCTTTTTGGCAAAATCATTTGGATTTTCTGGCATTAGGTGTTGCCATGATCGTCTTGCATTTGAACTACCAGGAAGGTCTTTCAGGGCGTGACAAGCTTTTTGAAAACGGTCTTTTGCATGATATAGGGGCAGATGCGGGAACCACAGAACCATGTTTAATTTTTCCTGAACGGCCTCTGAATACCAGAAAAGGGGGTCCCTAGTTCGATTCCTCTTGGTGACAAATTTTTGCATTTCGAGTTGACGTTCCAAAATTCGCGCAAAATGGAGTTCTGATTGTTCTGGTTGGTTCTAACTCCATTTTGCGCGAATTTTGGCACGTCAACTCGAAATGCAAAAATTTGTTACCACGAGGAATCGAACTAGGGACCTCCTTTTCTGGTATTCAGAGGGCCGTTCAGGAAAATTGAACATGGTTCTGTGGTTCCCGCATCTGCCCCTATATCATGCAAAAGACCGTTTTCAAAAAGCTTGTCACGCCCTGAAAGACCTTCCTGGTAGCGCTACTGAGTAGTCGCTTGAATTTGTATGCATATTGTGTGGGTGTGAATGAGACGCACAGGTGATGAAAAAAGTGCACGGCGAGTCCGTGTACGTCAAAATTCGTGGCAATTAGATCGAGCCGTTTATATCGCATCGCTCTGAATAGCCAGTGGTTATTCGATGTTCTCAAGGAGTCAGTCACAGTGATCTTTGATGTCTCAGCGGAGCGGCGAATGCACTCACAGGACCTTCTGGAACATAAAGCAAATGCTGGCTGACAATAAAGGCGTTGTCTGGTGGAATCCGGCCACTTCCCGTGCCGGAATTTTTGTCGCAACCAACTCAGTGCGTGTACTACTGCGATTATACTAGATTATTTACACGTGTGGGCGGGAGCGGTAGTGGCAAGTGGCACACCCACCACGCGCTTGTTCTGGAGATCGAATCCTGGGTAGTGCATCGTCTGGGAAAATCAAGCCTTCCATCCCTCCGGGGTCGGTTAATTGGTACCAGACTTGTCTGGGAGGATAAAAACACTGACTTGTACATCGGCTGGCCCCCGCAAGTCATTGTATAGGCCACATCGCATTCAAACGCCACTACGAATGTACAAATGGAAGTAGAATGCGTGCCGCATCCCAAAAAGGGATTGATCAACGGCAAATGCTTTATTCCTTTGCTATTTACACGTGTGAACAATATTACGATGGGATTCGATCGTTGTGTTGCCCTCTAATTGCCTTGTGTTAGAGAATAGCCTCACTTTTTGAGTTCAGTTTTGCTTTTAAATACTTAATTCCAAGGCATACGCTAGTTTGGCTAGGAGGGGTGGAATCTACCGTTGCTCTCGCGGGCTTCGAATAAGCACGCTGAGCAGGAAAACGCTCGATATACGTTCCGCTCGCCGCTGCGTTGGTCTGATACGCTTTCAGACTTTATCGTATTTTGCATTGTTTTCATTATGTTAGAAATAAAACAACTTGCTGCAATCAATTCACGTTAATCAAGAGCTTACGTAACTCTCATGTTATATTACGGGTAATCTACACTGGTGTGCAAAACTTAGGGACGAATGTAGCTTTTTCCAACGACGTGTTACTGGCGCGTAACATGACTCTATGGAACCTAACCACACATACAAAGAGCTGCCACAGGGCACTAAAGAAAGCAGTTAACAGGAACCGTTAAACGGTCCACAAAGCTATCAAAAGGTTATGATACTTCATCTGTCTCGTCCTTAAGTTTTGCCCACCTGTGTATAAGAATGACATCCTGTTTCATAAATTACGTACAAGAATACCATCTTGAGAAAACTGGCTCCGCACTTGGGGCGTATCAGCGTGTTCGTGAAGAATTAACAAAAACATCAATTTCATTGATGTGAGTTCACGTAAATCTTATTGATTAATGATTAAACACATTATTTAAGTCCCTGGCTGCGATCAGAGATCAGTCCTCCGGAGTGGGCCAGCTGATTTCTCTCGATCAACAGCCGAATGCCATAGTTCCACATCCCAGTATGTTCAAGACAGCGGCCGAAACAGCGAAGGAACTGCAATCAAACTGTGATCGAATAGGTGAGTTCCTCGCAGGAAATACCATGTTAGTAATGGAATATCTTAAAATTGATGTTTTTTTTCAGAAGCGCTGGAGTCCATTTTGAATCAAATGTCAGGCATTAGCCCCACTATAACGAACACACTAGGCGAGATTCGAACGTCACTTTTGAAGGTAGTTCCACATTCATTTTACCTTTTTGCCTCTAAACACTTTACTACTTTGGCGTCTATCTCTTCTTCTTCATATTTGCTTGTTTTGTAGATTCTTATTTTGCATTTGAAAGAATAATACTGCACTTTGAAGCTAGCAGAGAGCTTTGCTCGCTACAAGGTTTCGCAATGAAAACATCAAATTGTATTTGTGCAGCAGTAGAAAAGCTTGTAGTAGGGTTATACGCTGGATATTGTTCCCAGCGCATAATAATACTGTCACCTATTCTACTGCTACAAGTAAACAAGTGTTAGTTCCGCTTAGAACCTTTTATTCGAGCCACGCTGATTGTGTTGCTTTCAATAAGTAGGTAACGGGATTTACGAGTATCAGGTTGGTCCCCCTTCAAACCGCCGGGACCTTCCTTCTCTTGCGTAAGCTTCACGTCTTCCGCTGTGGTCTCTTCCACCTGTGACACCAACACCTCGTGGAGGTGACGCGTATGCAACAAAAAGGAGTTTAGTAGTAATCGTATAATCAGATGACGAGAATGACATACTCTAATACTCTAGCTGCATCCCTTAACGATTGTTTGCGACAGATTTTTCCGCCTCCCCCTTTCATCTCTTCCCTCCTCCTCACTGCGCAGCACTGCCCACTGAGCAACCCGACGTTGAATGATCGGAATTGTGCGCTACCCGATTTGTTATCGGTTGTTTATTCATTAGCTGCTTTATCACTTCCTTCATTTCGCGGACGGACAGACATACATATAAACCAACACTCCAAATACCCTCCCCTTCAAAAAGCAGAAAATGTGGGGTGCAGACCAAACACCACAACTGACGACGGCCTCCAAGTAAATCTGGTTAGTAGTGGTTCATAGTGATAGCTGATTTTTAGTAAATGATAGTTGTAATTAGTGTCAACTGATCGAATACAACTGTAACAGGTTAATCATTTCATTGGCAAAAACATTCGCATTTTCTGGAGGCCGTCGTCACTTGTGTGTATGGTCTGCACCCGACACTTTCTGGCTTTTTGAAGAGAAGGGTAGATGGATTGGGCTACTGATACGCATAGTGTTTCATCAAAATCTAGAATCACGTTATCGTCGTTATTACTACTTACCGGATTGCTCCCCCGTCCGGGACCTTCTTTCCCTGCGTAGGCTTTACGTCTTCCTCCTGTGGTCCCTCTACCTCTGACACCAACACCTCGTAGCGGTGACGCGTATACAAGAAAGGAATTTAATATTCAATAGAGAGAGAAAATCCCATAATCATGACATGACAGAAAATGGTATGACAATACCTTCCATCTTTTTTTTAGGTCTATTGTGATTGCTTCCGTTCCTCCCTGGACACTCCAATCCTGCTACTGACAGCACCACATGAAGTCGGAATGTGCGCAGGGAGGTTTTTTATACCGATATGGATGTTATCATATTACGCTATTACAAAACATTGATATCTCAAACCCTGTAGGCTACCCGATTTTTTAGCGGTTTGTTTATCCCATGAGCTTCCGTTATCACCCACTTCATTTTGCGGACGGACGACAGACACACATACACATACAGACAAACATACAAACCGATACACCAAGTTAGCGGATTTATAAAATAGAAGGATTACCACTTCTCGTGTTTTCATTGCGACATCATCAAAATATGTTAACCCTTTGTTTTACAAATATACTCGATAAATGGAGTCTCGAGCGTAAGGGGGGGACAATTGTGATGCAACGTCAAGTGGCTGCCCTCACCCCACACTCCCTAGACTGCCTTGACTCCCCTGGCTCACGGGGTCCCGTACTTCGAGAAACCTGTGCGCTAGGGGGAGTGTAGGCAGTTCAGGGGAGGGGTGAGGGCAGCCACTTGATGCCCCCCCATCCTGATGAACCATAAATTAAAGGACATAATGTCTACTACGTCAGTATAACCTAGTGCTTTTTCCTTAGCAAACATTTCAATCACATAATGTGTTTCCTATTCGACACTCCAGACAATACATTAACTGTAATCGCAAAATAGCTTAAGGCAATGTGCGAGTATGAGGCGATTGCGAATGCCCTACATTTCGTTCACATTATAACCAGGAAGCTTGTGTATCCATAGGCTGTGGTACGACGTTCGATTCAGGCGTCGATTGCAAAATCTGCGAGCCGAACAGAATCGCCTCCTGAGTCGACAGCCGACTCCAACGATTCGTTACAAGCACAAGCTCTTGCCGATTTATCACAGGTTCTTGTCCAATATTATACTAGCGAAATGTTCTTTTTGACCACAAGAATGCTGGGTTGTGAACAAAACTTTCGCCCCATGCGGGACTAGAACCCGTTCTTCTTTTTTCTTTTTGTAGAGTTCTTTTTGACATTTGTCCTTATTTCCAGCAACAAGCAAAGCTGGCGTCATTGAATCAGTTCGCAAGCGTTCCGAAAGCGATGCCGATGACACTGCAACCGTTCCCTACTGTGTCGGCACCGATGGACTCACAACTACTACAACATTTGTTAACGCAACAACTAATGCAATTAATAGCTACACCGCAATTAACGCAATAGGAGTTCTTATCATCGATTGGACTTCGTCCCTCATACAGTGTGATGTGCACGTGGCCGTGACCGCGTACTGGTATCATCAATAGTCCCATCTTGAAAAATCTCCAGCTTTCGTGTTCTTCATTCCCTTGAATGTGTCTATATGTATGTAATTCCAGAGTGTCTATGTTGTTCAATGAAACAGAGTAATCCAGTTAAATGATTCTCGTATACCCTGAATTTTTCCTTCAAATTAGAAGTTGTAAACATGTGTGGGGTGATAGCAGTACAATAAATTACCGGTAATTGTCAGTGGTGTACTTGCTACAGTCGCAGAATTATGGATAGAAAATAGCATCGAGTACGGCTTTGTTAAGGTATGGTTTGTGATTCAAGATTACTCTGGGGAAATTTATTTCAGCACAATAGCTTTTGCGTCATTAGTTCTTCAGCTCGTTATTATTGCAAGAATACTTGCAGGAATCGGCCCTGGGAAATCCTTGCATGCTTTTCCACCATGTACATGGCAGTTGTGATCAGGGTGAAAATCGTGTCGAGGACGTGGTCACCTCAGTACGACCCCCCCCCCCTCAGATCGGGGTCTTGATACGACCCCTCTAACTTTGATTTGATGTGAATAAGCGAGTTCCATCAATGTACAGCAAAGCATTCAGTTGCAGCGCGGTTTATCCGTGGGTCAGATTTGCCGAAACCCCGCTCGAAACCGTCGAAATCTACACTCTCGATGAAAAGGTTCCATTCCCCCATTTCATAACCTTTGGAGCAGTATGTGGTAGGGTTAGATAGAGCTGGCTACTACCGGGCAATATTGAAATTGATCTAAAATCTTTACACTCGAAGAGATAGGGTCTCTCAAATTTTGTCGAGGGAGCGTCGAGGATGCTGAATTTTTCATGCGAGTTTTTGCCACTTAAAAGGCAATATCTCTC